TGATCAGCCTACCTCCTCTTACTGGCGTACATTACTTCAGTAATATCTCTCACGTCAGATCTGGTTTGTAGCACTTCGTTTGGTATGTGTTATAGCCTGCTAGCGCCAATCATTCACCATTCCATTGCTTTTTGCGAGGCAGCTAATTTCCGTTCTTCAGCAAGCGTGGTATTCTATGTCTCACACCCATATAACATGGCTGGTAGGACAGTCGAATTGTAAACTGCTGCTTTTGCAGATGAAGTAATCTTATCATGTATAATGATTGGCCAACGCGCGGACTGCCCGCCCGAAGATGCGTTTTTTGCATGGTTCCCCGCAGTTTTTGTTGCTACCGGCACCGGTTTTTTCAGCAAATGCGTTTAGCTAAACAAATTGAGACTGGCCACCAGAACTATCAGAAAACATCCCTTTAAAATTTCAACTTTCTAGCTTCCCTAGCACCTGAGTTAGCAACTTACTGAGAAAAAATTTTCACTGCTCCGTGCGTGTTTACCACGCATACCCGAGCGTTGGGTTTGAGCTGAATGAAACTTAGGTGGACGGAGTATATCCTCTTAAAATTACAGTCCTCTAGCTTCTCAGATCCCCGAGTTATGAACTTACCCTAAAAAAATTTTTGGCGGGCGCGTACGCGGGTATCACGCTTGCTCGGGGGCTGGGGTTGAGCTCACTAATACCCACTTGGACGGGGAACATTACCGTAAGATTTCAGTTTTCTAACTTCTCAGATCCCCGAGTTATGGACTTACCCGTAAAAAACTTTGGGGGGGCCCGCATGCAGGTATCACGCAGGTAATGGCGCCCACTTTTGGGATTGGGGACCGTACATGCTTGTAAATTAAGTTCCCAGAGTTTCAGCCCTGTAGCTTTTATAGGTCTTAAAATGAATAAAAAAAAATGAATAAGAAGCGTGACGAACGCACAAACGGAAACACAGACACACACACACACACACACACACACACACACACACACACACACACACAGACAACCCCTCG